TAGTGAATAATTGTTATCAGGACTGATTGTGAGGGTTGGAAATGTAAAGGTAGACATTTTATAGCAAGGAAGGGGAGTGATTAACTTTTCAGTTTAGGAACGGAGGTCCCTAGGACCATCAAGGGAGAAGAGCAGAGAGCGGGACCTTACCCAGAGAAGCAGTGATGCCTGAAATGGAGTCAGAGATGATGACGTGGAGCAATGGAGCAGCTGGAGACTTTAGATCCAGAGAGGGAGAGCAAGTGTGTGCTGAAGACCTGGGGGGCATGGGGGAAGGATTGCATGGAGGGGATTGTAACCATGGCAATGAGACGATATACGATAGAATGAATGTAAAACCAATGTTCTCCCATGTAAACTATCACATAATTCACAACAAAACATTTAAATAAAACAAACAAACAGAAACAACAACAACAACAAAAAAAACCCACCCGTCCAATTCCATGATGAAGACAGCATTGAGCATGCACATGAAATGATTCTGTCGAATAGATGAGTGACAGTGTATTATGTGGCATGTCATTTACAAATAAGCCATGGCTCTAAGAAATAATCCATGACAGACTTGGGTTTCAAAGAGTTTGTGCGAGATGGGTACCAAAACAATTCACTGAAGAGCATAAACGGAAATGTTTGGATGTCTGCAAACAAAATTTGGGCCAATATTTGAGGGAAGTAAACGTTTCTTTAAAAACATCGTTACTGGTGATTAGACATGGTTTCATCACTATGAGCCAGAGAGTAAATGGCAGAGTATGGAGTGGAAACATCGTCAATCGCAGACCAGGAAAAAGTTTAAAAGTCAACTATCAGCTGGAAAATTGATGCTTACAGTTTTCTGGGATTCTCAAGGGTCAGTAAAAAGGTTCAACAATCAACAGTACTTACAGTGAGATGCTCACTGAAGAGCTGAAGTCAAACTTCAGATTAAACGCAGAGGACTGATATCCCAAGGCCTTGTGATCTTGCATGACAATATACGTCCACACTGTTTGAGGTGTTAAATCATCCTCTCTATTGTCCTGATCTTGCTCCATTGGACTTTTACCTGTATGCGCTCCTGAAAGCAGCTCTTCGAGGATGAAGATTCACCTCTGATGAAGAAGTGAAAGCAGTCGTGCATTTATGGCTCACAGTTCAGCCTGATTTTTTAATCAGGGAATACGAAAGCTTGTTGACAGATGGATAAAGTCTATTGAAAAGCAAGGAGATTAAATAGAAAAACAGTGTCTTTGTCTTTTCTAAAATTTGATTAAAGTAAATTCTACAGCCAGAGTATGGATAATTTATGACTCAGCCTCGTACATGGGGGCTTCAAAAACTTTGTGGAAAACAGGAATTAAAAGACAATGAAATTCTTCCACCAACTTTTTGAAGCCCCCTTACATGACAAAGTCTTAAAAGTGTGAATATATTTTGAGGGTCTATTTTTACATTAGGACTATAACCTAATGGAATAACAAAGTAGTTGGAAAGATGTATGCATGCATGTTAATGGGTATTTCAGTACATAGTTTATGATACAAAAGAATTGTTAACGAAAATATCTAACTTCAGGGGATTCACTGAAAAAATGTGGTTCTATACATTACTTCTCAACTCAGGAAGGTATTTGTTATCCTCATGAGGATAGTTGGTCAATTTGCATAAAATTATTTTTGTAAAATATGCATTTTTGTTTCTATACACTTTTGTAAAGACATACACAGAAAAATCTGTAAGGATATAACATAAAATAATTGTGGTAATGTTATCTTGAATGGCGGACAATTTTTTGCGTGTCTGTTTTCTAATTTCTTTGTTTGTTGCTGTTCCATCGAGTTGTTCCAACTCATAGCGACCCTGTATCATTTCTGAGGAATGGCTAGATTGGAACTACCTACCTTGCGGTTTAAACTGACCTTGTAGTCCAGTGCTTTATCCCATAACGTTACACCTAACACAGTGAATGCGCCACTAATTAATAAGGCAATTTATTTATCTCCTTTGTGCTACTAAGAATCACTAACCATATATTTCATTTATGAGGAAAAATCACCAATCTATAAATTTATTTAATTCATTAGGTACTGCAGTTGCTACTGAAATGCATTAACACTGGTCATATTTACCTCCCCAAAGACAGCCCAATTGCAAGGGCAGAATACCTTACTAAGATAAGGGAGAATACACTTTCTGTTTGTTTTTAGAGTTTGAAAAGACAAATCATATATGCCTTCAGAATATCTAAGTAATTGCTTCTTGTTTTAAACTATGAAGAACCAGGGAAAGAAGGTACTGCAGCAAACACTTTTAATAAGAATACAAAATTCACACCAGAGGCACATTCTGGGGAATGTCAATGAACTATTATCACAAGAATAAAATAAGGCTCTCTCCGAGTACAAACATACAGGAGGGAATGATTTAAAATAGGATTATGGTTAACAATCACATTACATTGTATTAAGCACTGAAAACAGGCATATTAATTAAAAAGCCAGCAAAAAGGCATCTGAACATATATAACAAATCTTACAATCCACAAAAATTGTGTATAACGGTAATTTTAAGTAATCCATTTCAACACAAAAGAAATGAACAGGCGAAGCGAGAACTCTCAAAATATTAATTTATGTCTGTGACAAAAATTAATCTTACATTTAGTAAAGATTACATCACTGACAGAACCACACAGTGGACAAGCCAACCACATAACACATAATCAACACTGCTCAGCAACTAAAACAGTACTGGCCTTTTCCCATCTGGTTTCTTCCTGCCACCACCGAACTATTCTCCATTACCTTTTTATTACCAAAATAGTAAAAAACACAACCCATCCCACTTTCCATTCCTCAAAAGGAATTAAGGAAAACTAAAAAAACAAACTCAAAATAAGTTGATTTCACTATGAAATTTAAATGTGGTTTAACGAGTACAAAGAGACCCCAAATTTATACACAGTGTTCCTTTCCAAGGGAAGAACAGACACATCAAACATTATTTGAAAGGGGTTTCTTTATGGGTATGTACAATGGTTGAACAAGAATTACTGTATCTGAGAAGGCACATATCTGTGATTTAAGGCTTAAATGGTATTGTTACATATGGAAGTCAATAAAAGCTGTCTAGGAATTCAATTCTATCAAAATGGAATTTATCCTAAAACTAACTTTCTAAGCTCAGACTTCTAACTCTAGAAACTGTCAAGAATCTCTATTCCTAAGTCCACCTGCCAAAGACTTCTCTTAAGAAGGTTTCATTGTGAATCAAAAGCAATTGTTAACATGACCACCCAACGACTTTGGGCAATGCAGATGCATAAGCTTACAAACCTCACAAAATGACAGTGTGATTCCTGCGTCTTTTAAAAAAGTTTAAACAAACTTACAATGGTACAGATTCATTTTTTAAAAAGGCATTTGTCACAACTCCACATGTCAACTCCACAGGAGAGCGGTTGTCTCTGTGTGGACGCTGCAGAAACACCACATAGTTTTACTCTGCAAAATAGTTTCTTTTTCTCTAAGACAATACACAAAAAATGAATCTCTTTAAGATGTTTAATATACTCATATATAAAATATCAAATGTTTCTATAAATCATGTAAACCTCCCTTTGGAAAAGTTACAAGTGGCCCTCATTTCTGGGACCTAAAACCTTGAATTTTTCTCTTATCAGTGCAAATCTATATTAGATGTCTTCAAGCTACAGAAATAGTCATTAACACTCGCCATACAAAAAGATTTCTCAAAAAGGAAAATTATTGTGTCTGGATTATAGATATTTTGTTTACATTACAGCCACCCATGTTCCCACCCAATTTAACAGTTCAATTGATACAGTATGAAAAGGAAAAAATTAAAGCTGTTTGTGCAAGAATCACTACAAATGGTTGTCATTCCACTCCACTTCCCCCAACTCTGCTTAATTTTTATCAGGTTTGCGTAGGAATATAGCAATGGGCCTTTCCCCCACCATGTGTGATTACTGTTCTTCAAGCCAAGATGGGGCATCCATTCCAGGAGTTTTCAATTTGATATGGAACTGTTTAAGTGTCTGTTCAAGCTGCTTCTGATTCCCAGCAAAGTAAGCGGCAATGGCATTGTGGAAAAGGACCAATTGATTGTGCAATACTTTCACCTGTGGATAAAGCAGAGTTACATGACCAACCATTAACACCAATGGCAGGGAGGGAGGACGTGATTTACTATAGGCCTTAATTAAATGCTGGTTTCTCCTCAAGGAAGGCTGTTTCAATACTGATTAAGCATTTCACACATATCACGTGTACATCGCCTTGCAGGGAGGGTCATTAAGAAAAGAAAAAGAAGTCTAACAACAGATCAGTTTAAGAAACTAAATATATATTCTACTATTTTCAAATATTATTGAGGGCATTAATAAAAACTATTAAATTCTTCCTCAAGCTAAGTATATTCAAAACCCTATGAAATATCAAATAGGGATTGTCAGACATAAATAACTGCTATATAATATATGCTAGATGTTGTTGTTGTTAAGTGCCGTTAAGCCAGTTCCAACCCATAGCAAACCTATATAGGGTTTCCAAGGAGCAACTGGTGACCTTGACCCACTGACCTGTGGTTCAAACAACTTTGCAGTCTAGCGCATTAGCCCACAGTACCACACCAGAAGTCCATATGTTAGATACCAAGTATGAATGAACATCATTGATACTATGTTTTATTTAAAAATGAGTAGGATATCATAAATCAATAGGCATGTTCGAACAGAACAAGAGGATACTGAATAATTTAAAATCAGGAAAGGTATGTGCCAGGGCTATATTCTTTCACCATAGTTATTTAATTTCTATGCTGAGCAGATAATCCAAGGAACTGGATTATATGAAAAAAAAGATGGCTTTAGGATTGTTGGAAGGCTCATTAACAACCTACACTATGCAGATGATACAGCCTTACTTGCTGAAGAAAAGAGGATTTGAAATACTGCTGAGGATCTAAGAGCACACAGCCTTCAGTATAGATTGCATCTCAATGTAAAGACAATAAAAATCCTCACCACTGGACCAATAAACACCATCATGATAAACAGAGAAAAGATTGAAGTTGTCAAAGACTTCAGTTGACTTAGATCTACAATCAACATTCACGGAAGCAGCAGTCAAGAAATCAAACGATGTATTGCATTAGACAAATCTCTTGCACACGACCTCTTTATTAAAAATGTTCAAGAGCAAAGATGTCAGGTTGAGGACTTAGGTATGCCTGACAAATAATGGTATTTTCAATTGCCTCATGTGAAAGTTATACAAGAAATAAGGAAAGTTTTCGAAGAATTAATATTGGAGAAGAATATTGACAGTACTATGGATTGCCAGAAGAAAAACAAATTTGTGTTGTAAGTACAACCAGATTGCTCCTTAGAAGTCAGGATGGCAAGACTTCGTCTCTCATACTTTCAACAACATATCATCACCAGGGACCAGTCCCTGGAGAAGGACATGATGCTTGGTAAAGAGGAAGAGGAAGACCACTCAGCAAGAGGAACTGACACCATGACAGTAGCAATGGACTCAAGTGTAACAACAATTGTGAGGATGGATCAGGATTGGACAATGTTTTGTCCTGTTGTTCATATGGTTGCTATGGGTCGGAACAGACTCAATAGCACCTAACATTTCTTTGCAAAGAATAGGTAGGTGGCAGCAAGTGTTGTCCATAAAATCAATTTAATTTATGTTCATAAGGTTCTCAGTTATTTTCAATTGCTTATGGTGGCGCTGCAAACCATAAGGTCTGGGTTCAAACCACTAGCGTCTCCATGACAGGCAGATGAGGTTGTCTGCTCCTGTACAGAGTTTCAGTCTCGGAAACCCTATGTATGGTTTGGCAGGAAATCCTGGTATGGCACTGTAGGATAAGTATTAGACTGGCAGCCGCTCCTTGGAAACCCTATACAGGCTCACTATGAGTTGATGGCACATAACAACAACAATGTGAGTTGAAATGACAAGTAACGGACTCTGATGGTAACTGAAAGGCTGGCAGTTGAAACCAATCAGCCTGCTGTTCCATAGGAGAAAGATGTGGCAGTCTGCTTCCATACAAATGACAGCCTGTACTATAGACTCACTGACTGTCAGAACTGATGGAAACAGCCAGTGGGTTTAAGGTGCGAAGTGGAGGTATTTTTGTGGGAGAGTCAACAGTAGTTATGTTTTAAATGAAGGGCAGTAGGTAAGTATTCAATGAAGGAGTATTTTTCTTTTTAAGACTTTATGTTATCTGAGACTCTTAAAAACAATATGTACATTTTATAATCAGAAAAAAAGAAATACTTCTGCAAACAAAGAGTAATGTTTTATAAAGAGCACTACAATCCGCAAACAATATTAAACTGTGTAAATATTAGACAGAATTTAAATCTGGTTTCATTTGTGATGTTAATCAGCATTTAACTAAGTTAGATGAAACATCAACACTCCACTGCACCCTCTAACATTTTAAAACATCTGAGTCACTTCACTTGACCGGATAATTAAGTAAGTAGAACTATGACATCACACAGGAACCAACAAAGCTGCTTTCCTGAGAAAGACTCTTTCTGAGTCTGTTTTTATAAAGTGGGGTGGAACGGGACAGCACTATGCGGCATGTGGAGATGAAATGCTATAATAACATATCTATAGGAGGGTGACGTGACTGCTTACAAAGAGGCACAGCTTATTTGTCTCCTAATGTGATACTGGAAGAAGCCATTAGTTGAGAATAAAAGTAGAGAAATTTTAAACTAGAGATTATCATAACCAACCATCTGGGTTGATTTGCTCTGCGTTACATGGTGATTGAGTAGCAGAGTTAGAACTGAAAACCAAGTCTTGTGACTCCTTGCCCAGTACATTCACCTTTGCACAACCATGGCTCCCAACATGGTGAAGCCCAAAGTGCACGAGTGATCCCGAGCGATCTGGTGGAAGCAGAGTTGTATTCTTCAGACTTCAGGGGGATAAGTGTTGTCACTGGTTCCTGGGCACTCTGGAGCCACTGCTCTTAAACATACCTGCCTGCACACAAACTCTTCAGAATAGCAATGTCATCGTCTTGAGCACAGCTCAGAGCTAGCCAACACCTGAGGCAACCATCAGGACCAAACGAATACACTCTGACACTGTCGAATCAAAGACCAAGGCCTGTATCACAGCACTGCCTGAATCCACTTTCAACTTTTTTGGTGAGAAGAGAGAGACAGAAATGTCTTTAATGCTATGATAGCCAAAATTAACTGGAGAAGAAGTAAATATGATCTTTACCAAACACCCAGAAGTACTGACATGCCAGGGAATTAACATCTCCAGTTTTGGGAACAAGTTGGACTAATTCTCTTAACTATTCAAACCTTAGGGCATTGGCACTGCTGATTCGCCCCAAAGTTGTCTAAAACAAAATTAATTTTATTTTTCTTCTTCCTTGTTTGGTTTTGGTTTGGAGAGAGATAAGAACGTTTCCATCAAGCATGCTGTTTAGGAAGACCAGATAGCACGAAACAATGAAAACTAAGAAATGTCTGTACAAACGAAAAGAGGTACATCTTGACATTTAAAGCCTGCAAATCTTTCCAAGTGAAACTTTTGGTGCTGGGTAAAAGGATGAGTCTCCCTCCCCACTGTACCCCTCCTCCCCCAAAGGGAACACTATATGTTAAGTCCTGTACTAGGTATACAGGACTAAATCAGGCATAAACCAAAAGCCACTGCCATCCAATCAATTCCGACTTGGAGAGGGCTTCTGAGCTTGTAAGTTTTTATGGGAGCAGATAGCCTCGTCTTTTTCCCAAGGAGTACCTGGTGGGTTTGAACCACAGACCTAGTGGCTCGTAGTCCAGTGCTTATCCTACAATACCACCATGGCTACTTAAATAAGACATGGGATAGCAGAAAATTCCATTAGCATGATTAATGGGGAATAGTGTAGTGGTTACGAATCGGGCTGCGAACCTTAAGGTTAGCGGTTTGAAACTACCAGCTGTTCTGCAGGAGAAAGATGAGGCTTTCTGCTCCCGTAAAGATTTACAGCCTCGGAAACCCTGTACAGGGTTGCTATGAGTCGGAACCGACTCTGTGGCACATAACAACAACAACAAGAAGAATATACTATGGTAGCATAGCGGTTACGAGTCGGGCTGCGAACCTCAGGGTCAGCAGTTCAAAACTACCAGCTATTCCACGGGAGAAAGATGAGGCTTTCTGCTCCTGTAAAGATTCACAGCCTCGGAAACCCTTTGTGGGGTTGCTATGAGTCAGAACCGAGTTCATGGCACATAACCACCACCACCAATAATATATTGGTTAACTTTTTAAAAAGGGCTTGTGGGGAGAACAGAGTTTCTTTTTTTTTTTTTGAGAAAGGTTGGAAGAGAACATCGGTACAAGGGAACTCTCCTAGCCCTCTGTTTCTCAGGTATGGAGTATATGACAGGATGTGGAGCCTCAGTCTAAAGGCAATTACCAGGGAAACAGCGTAAGTACATAAAGGCAGTGTGGAAGGTGAAGTAGTATTCTAGTGTGGTGGACTGTTACTATAATGCTTCCCAATGAATCAACCCTCTCAATATCCATTCCCTGCACATGCTACAGTGAAAATGGACTTGACAATATAACAAAAATGAAGCCTGACAAGCAAGTGACTCTTGTACTAGTACTGCTGCCACTTTGTGAGGAAGCCCAGTTAGCTTCCTTCCAAATGAAAGTCCCTGGGGAGAGACACCCAGTCATTTCTGCTGTGCCCAACATCCAATAGGGTCTACACAAAGAATCCAAAGAAATAATAAATCATTATTGTTCTAAGACACCAAGTTTTGGGTAAGCAGCGAAAATAAATGGTACAGCTATTCTAAAAAGGTGAAGCATACAGTATACAAGCAATAAAAAATTTTAAAGTCTTTAAGAAATAACAGTGAAAGGAGAGATATTAGAAATGGGAGAACAGCCTTAGGAAGAAAAAAAGGCTAAGCTAGGTAAGAAACAAAGGAACAGAAGAAAGGAGTCTATCTGGGGAGATCAGGAGTGTTGATGGCGGTGATCCATAGGAGAAATTAAGAGAGAAAAAACTAGGGAATAGAGATTCAAACAAGAGAGGCAAAAATTCAACTAATTCTAC